CCAAAACCGACAACAACATCATGACACCTACCGTTCTTCTGTTAATTTTCGGTCTCACAGGAATCGCAGGTGCCAAAACTTCTGCATCTTCAATAAAGAGATTGTTTTCAACGACAGGGATTGCTGTGAAAACGTCTTCGATCAATGATGGTGTTGTTGTTGTCGTTGTTGTTGTTGATGTTGATGACATTGTTGGCAATGTGGACGGCGAATGCATGGCGAAACCTTCTTCTTTATCGATAAGATATTGCGCGTATCTGCTTGGATATTTGCGCTTAAGCTGTTCTGAAACATTGAATCACATCATCAGTTTGATAAGCTTTTCCCTCCAAGCGATTTTAGTTTCACCCGAGCAAACTGAGAGGTCCTGTTGGATGTTAGGAAAACAGGACAGCTGCTTAGTAAACTTCAGGGAATATTTGCTGCTGTTGGGAGAGAGATTTGAATAGTTCGTCTACTGAATATGAAAAATCATTTCGAAGGATTAGTCTTATCTGATCGTATGGGCGTGGTTAGAAGAACGGTAAGTGTCATGATCTTGTTGCCGGTTTTGGCTTTTGTTTGAGATTGAATTCTTTCAGATGTTTCCCGGAAAACGAATCGCCTTTTCGGATGATCACATGTTTTCAAGGAAGATCGATGGAGCAGACATACGAAGACATCAGCAAAGGAAGCTCAAGGTAAAGGTTTCGGTATCTCGTTGGAAATGCCCAAACAGATTGGCGATTTCCTTCCAAATCAGGCTGCGTTCATACTTTGCGGCAGCGTCCACCAGCGTCTACCAGCGTCCACTAGCGTTCCGAGCGTCCGGCAGCGTCAGCGACTAGGAAAGTATAGATATCGATCTAGCGTCTGCCAGCGCCTCTCAGCGCCTGCTAACGTCTTCAGCGCCTCGAGGACTAGGAAAGCATACGCATCGATCTAGCGCCTACCGGCGTCCACCAGTCACCGGGAGTACAAAGTAGGAGGGTAGCAAACAGCTGCCTCGTGGAATTCTGGAGTGTGCAACCGCATCGCACAACTGCTAATGCACAGATTATGCAATTCAATCCACGGTGTAGTGTTGTTGTACGGTGTGGTCGCACACGTCGCAATTTCACGACGCCTAATCCAGCTGTTTGCTACCCTCCTACTTCCCCATACTCTCTACTCCCGGTCGCTGGTGAACGCTGGCAGACGCTAGATCGATATCTATACTTTCCTAGTCGCTGACGCTGCCGGACGCTCGGAACGCTAGTGGACGCTGGTAGACGCTGCTGGACGCTGCCGCAAGGTATGAACCAGGGCACATCGTTGTTGGGGAATCCCCAACAGGGGGGGGTCGTATTTGGGCTGAGAAAAATTTATTTTGATAGTTGATTTTTCTCGCTTCACGGACGTTGTAAAAGGGGTAGGGAGGGGGAATGCCGCACTTGCTCATTGTTAGGAGGGGGAAAGGACTCGTGTTTACTTTCCTGGCCTTTCTAGTGGGAGTGGTGGTTGACTCTTCCTGATTTTCCTGTTTCATACGTACTATATACTTCCCCCCCCCCCCCCTCACCCCCTAACTCCTCCCACTCGGCAGCAAAATTTTTGAGAAAAAGTAGGGAAGTTCGCGCATTCCCAAGCGCATCAGCGCTCAGCTGCCCTATCGTCTGAATATCGTATAAGTATATCATATATTTGTCATTGCAGCAAGTGACACTCGGTGCTCCAACTCCAACTCCAACAGCACCATCATATGTTAATAAGGCTCGAAATTTCCTGGAAATGGTGAACGTCAAAGAGAGCAGCTCTGACGCTGTGAAAAACAGTGTGATGGAATCACAAATGGACAGTTCAGCTATGGTGACCAATGGAGGTTTTCTTGGTGAGAAGATTTTCAAATTTATTTCTTTCCTTATTTTCTTTATTGTTCTGTGAATAATGCTGGCTCAGCGAGCTGCTCAGAGGCACTTGACTATTACCTGACAGGCAGAGTTCCTTCCTTGCGTTGGTCACTTCCATAATATTGGAAGTTGTCCCGTTCTTGGCCGTAAGTGACGAGGGCGCTGCGATCGTCGTGAGTCACAGGACGCCATCCTTAGAAGTTGCCGTATCCATCTGATATAGACGTCATGTATTCCAACGATCCTACAGCTGTGAACACAGATACGACACGCTGCGCTCACTCTTAGTGGGATCTGATCTTGTCGGTTTTCTCGTTCTGGGACTTCATCAGGGCGTCTTGTACAATTTTACTCAATCCTTTCCTCACTTTTGAATCAAGGTTGCATGAATGAATTCATATTTGTTCACGAAATTTCTGCTAACCATTGTAAGTTATCGCGGAATATGCCCGAAACGGTCCGCTATGACTCACGGGTATGTAATAAAAGGGTGGGAAAGGGGATGTGGGCCGCAGCGGACAACCTCGTATCGGTTTCGCAGTGGAAATTTGTAAAGGCGCTAAGGCGCATACTCGCTGCACCCTTTTTTCAGTGACTCGGCTTTCAGACTCCGTCTTCCAAGTCTGTCTCCTAGGGGGAAAACGATCCAGTAACATTAAATGAAGGGTCCCTTGTCGCTTGGGGTCCTAGTTTTCATTATAAGGAATCAGCTGACAGGGACCATCCCATTAAGCTTTATTTTCCTCTTGCACTTGTACATTTGCTCAAGGCTAGAGAGAACCCAGCCTTTACTAGAGGCGTTATCAACGTTTCCTTACGCATTTGGGCTTCCCTGATGACTCCACTGGCAATTTCTTTTCCATGTTTCTACGCCACTACCTATGCTTACTATCAAAGACCGTGCCTCTAAAGAAAACCTGCCCAAGAATTCTATGTGGGGTTATTGAAGGAATTTCCATTCCCTGGAAAAAATTTGTTAAATTTGTCGTTTTACCCGTGATATGGAAAGCTCGTATGATCTTGGTGGGACTCCATCC